ATCATTTGGAACACGTGACACAGCCAGAGGGAATCTGTATAAAGAAGTAAACAATACTGAAAGCTGCTGACCATTACTGGAATCAAGACATAATACTTAAGGGATAAGCCAAAATTACAAATACTCTCTGCACATTTAAACAATGTATTTCTTGTTCTTCATGCATTAACTTTTCTAACTAACTCACACCAAATATAGCATATTTCAGTCAGTGTCAATGCACAAATGTTTCTTTAACAGAACTGAACTGATCTGAGTAATGAATTTACTATGATGAAAAAATGTTATTACTTAAGCATGTAGAATTTTTACCTCTTATTTAAAGGTTAGTTTGGCATGTGTAACTAAGGATATATGTCTGCGCCAAGCATGTTAAACAGAATATGGTGTCAATGATTTAAATACACCTGACTTCAATGATATAAATGCTGACATAAATAGACCCTTGTTTCAGAATATTCCAGAAAATTTGCCAAACATTTTTATACAGAACACCACAGACCTGAGTAATTATATTAGTAAAATGTGTAGAATGTTAAATTAATTTTGTTTACAGTGTTTTTGATAAATTGTAACTATGGTGACAGAGTCACTGTTTGTGCAAAATTCTGTAGAATATTCTCTTAAATTTCACGTTCAAGTGTACACCATGTATTATAGACTTGAAAGGATTCTGACGATGGTGTATACTGTACTTCTTTTGGCTTATTTTGGACTTCATCCATCGTCTGGTATGTAAAAGACAAGAGACCACAACGTTTCGGAGACTGGATCTGTCTCTGTCTTCAGGTTGGTAGGGAAGGATAAACCTACTCAGTAGGGTCTTCTAGAGAAATCCAGGTTGGCTCAGCATGCATATGAAGAAGGTCATTGGGTAAGCTGGGATGAAGCTAGGATCTTGGAGGTTGAAAGTAACAGCAGATACAGAAAGTACAAAGAATCATCTCATATGGCATGTTCAACCAATCTGATCAGCCAACCCAGTTTGGATATTTCTCCCATATGGATCCCCCTCATTAATGAGGAGGTTAACAAATCAAAAATGTAATTTTTTATGAATATCAGTGGTTCCACTACATCTGAAAGTTTTGCTCCGGGGATTATTCTGATTCCTGTAAGTCGCCATGGTGGCACGATTCTTTATCCACACAGATTAGGCATGCATTGTCTCCAGTTTTTACTTTCGTTTTTAACTGAATTCATGGAATTTAACCTACACTTCTGTTTTCTTACATTGTTGACATGTGCATGCTTGGCACAAATTTTCTATCATGTCTTTACTGTGATTTTATTCTTTTCTCCCACTGATGGAACCGGTTGTCGGTTGTTCATAAGTTGTTTTTCTACAGACCCTGTTTTGTCCAGTGATTGAGACCAGCTCTTTCTAACGGGCCCAACTGGGTAGGTTTATCCTTCCCTACCCATCTGAAGATGGAGACAGATCCAGTCTCCGAAACTTCATGGTCTTTTGTCTTTTACTTACCAGACGATAGATGAGGTCCAAAATAAGCCAAAAGAAGTACAATATATAAANTATATTATGGTTTAGATTGACTGGAAGTGGAAGGACCTCAGAATATTTTTTGTCTAATGACTTCAGTGCTAGAAATGTTTCCCAGATGAAATTTCAATCATACTGGTAGAAAATACTCCAAATTAGGCCTTATTCAAAAGAGTTTCCTTTACTTACAGTTGTATGAGGGGTTGGCGTGGCACATCAGTACAGGAAAATGAGAAGGTATCTCACTTTTCTGCCAAACAGATCCAACATTTTACGAAGTATATCATATTTCCTTGCACAATAAAAATATTTTAACAGTGCATTTATTTACCATTGTATAAAGGATTTAAACAAAGCCTATTTTATATACACATTATACTGTCTTCAATATCTGAAAGAAATCAATAACACACATATTTCCACCTCTTCTTTTTTTGTTCCCCAGTAGCACAACACAAACACACAAACTCATGGTCATTTTATTTTTACAACCAAGATGGCTCAACAGCGCACTCTTTATATAGCAAATCTGAGGAATGCCATCATCACAAGTTTGCTTCAGTTTATTTTTACAATAAAATATGCAGGAGGGATCTAGTGCTTAGACCATGACGACAAGACAAAGATGTGTGTTATTTATGGACCCGCTTAAGATCCATCACTTAATGCATACAATGTTTGTCCTCATTGTTAATACAGCAGATTTTTTATGAACACATATTAAGAAAATTAGCTGTTATTCTATTAAGAAGATTATCTTTTATTTTCACTGTGGCTATAAAATTATTATTTATGTTGTTTTCTTTTCAATCGTTTCTTTTTTTTTTTTTGAAGTTTCTGAAATTTCCCTTTATTTTTGTCATGATACACTGTTTAAATTATCCACCCTTGAAATGAATGCCTTCTGAATTTTTCATACTCTATATCATTGCCTTTTGTATCTTGAAATATTACAGTCTTCTCCTCCAGTTTGGCTGCTAACACACTCTGCTGTGCCACAGTGAACTGATCTTGCAAGTCATTGTTCTTTCGGTGAGAATTTTATTGATGCTAATACACACAACAAATAGAACCAGATTATACACATTTTGAAGAAATACTGAAATCTGTATGAAAGGCCAGTAAGAACAGTCTAAGCAATATGTTAGTTGGAAGTAATCAATATATTTAGAGTTAATTTGAATGTGGGTTAAGACACAAGATCTCAGAAATGAGATACTTTCATGAACTATCCATAATTGTCAATTAAATAGTTAAAATACAGTTAATTTTTTACAAATGGCTAATAATAACAGGCAATTAAGTCATTGGTATACATCAGCAAAAGCCATTTCACAAAATACAGTATGGTAATGTAACATTACATGGTAGTCAGTTTCAGTAAGCTTTAAATTTCTCACAAATTCTACCCAGGAAAGCAAATTTCAAATTCCAAAAACTGATGGTATTTTCGATTATGTATGCTGAGTTTTAATACGATGATGTGGTATCATTTACAAAGATTATAAATACTGCAGTAACACTAGAGGCACATTTATGGAAAGGAAAACCTAAAATAGGAAATGTATGAAAAACACAAAAATATTCTCCGTTTCACATGTTCCACCAAATTATTTTTGATATTTACATAACTTAAAAACATGTGATATGATAACATATCCTTTTCATACTACCTCAAAGAAATGATTTGTAAGGGTGTGAACTTCCAGTAGAACATATTGGTATGTACAGGAGAAAGCCACATACAAGTACATACAAGCATTAGTGTAATGAATACACATATTTAAAACCCACATTCATATTAATCAATAGAAAATGAATGTTCACAGTTAGATGACTGCTGTGCGAAAGTGAATCAAAATACTATCATACATAGTGACAAAGAAATTCCAAGCACAGAGTACAAGGTGGATGAATCAATTACATCTTGTGAGTCAACAATCTGGTAAATAGGATTTTAGCAAGATAGTTTTCTTGTATATATGTCAGATCTGTTATAAAAGTGACAAATATGGCAATAACTTAAAAACTGATAATTAACAAAATATTAATCAAGTTAAAGGCAACAAATTTCCAAGTTTTGAAACACTATTTTTTTTTTTTTTTTTAATTTCGTGGGTTGGGTTGAGGGTGAGCCCACTTGGTATATCAGATACTAATTGGCCTATTGTACCAGCCCCAGATGACAGATGAGTATGGAACATTTCATGGAATAAGAATTTGCAAGGGAAACCAAGTACTCAGAGAAACCTGTCTCATTAGGGGGAAGGCAGTGACTAACTGCCTAACCTATGGCATGGCCAAGGGAACGTATCTTATACACATTGGATTTCAGGATCCCATTCAGTGACTATGATTACTGTGTTCTTCTGAATTGTAATGTCCTGTATTTTGGAGAGAGCCTAATGTTTTGGTGGAACATACTGACTCTGTCTTTTGGGATGAAGAGTAAGCCAAGCAAGAAACCAGCAAAAGGAAGTTGCAAAGCAAGTTGCAGTACAACCCAGCTTCTGCTGGATATTGTTTGGTTTATTTCTTTACCATGAAGCTGGAGGCAACATGTTCCTCTCAAACATAAGGCTCTCCCCAAACTACAAAACTTTACAAGCCAGAAGACCACAGTCTTCATACTTTATAAAGCGTGAGTAAACATGTATTTTATTTTGGGATAAATTTTCTTTTATGTATTTTGAGGAAAAATATATAACATCAGACTGGAATATCAGGTAATATTTTATTTTAAGGAGGAAAGATTATACTTTTATTAATCTTTAATTGCCAAATTTATAACTTTAATTTCCAGACAGAAAGTATGTACATATCTGTGATTTGATGTTTTCATGGTTGTGAAGATTCACACTGTGGTCTTTTGGGTTATGACACCAGGTATTCTTGTAGGTGGGCAAAAGCCTTTCGGAAGAACATACTGACTCAGCAGAAGGTTCTGCCTCCATCTTACCTGTGACAGTAAGGATAGAAGCACTATGTTCATCCAAAAACTTGATACCCATCTGCTAGAATGCACACATGAAGTCATAACTCAGGAGACCACAATATATACATACATACACACCATTCATCAAATTTGTGAATAGTCATTTGGATCCATATTTTGGTCAAAATTTGATCAATTTTGTTATGCAGAAAAATACCAAAATTAGCTGATAAAGATATTACAGTGATATTTATGTTCCTATTTAAAAAATATGGGTGTTAACAGTTGTTGACAAAAATGAGATTATCACTGATTTAGAAAATGATATTTGAAACACTTTTTATAACTGGGGAGTTTTCTTTTTTTAAACAAAATGAAAGCTGCTTATTGCATGGTATATTTAGGACAGAAATCACTGAGTTCTTTAAATAAAAATACTTACAATCCTTTTGAGTTCATATCTGAAATTTATAGAGCTACAGAACATCTTTAAAATTTACACCAAGAAATCTGTAGCGAAAGTCACAGCAATAATTCCAGAAAACAAATTTTCACCTTAATGACAATGTTATCATCACTGGGCTTCCTGTTTTATGCATGTTCATGAGAGGAAGGACTAAAAACTGTGGGTCACATAAGCTGTTCTTTGGCGATAATGCTTGTAAATTCATATCTTTAATTTTTACTAATATTTTGCCTTGTCTGGTGATAAAAAGTCATTCCTTATGCCCTACCTGGCAATAAAGAACTTTAAAACAACAGAAAACACTAAATGCATAGAACATTGTATATAGCATTTATTTGTATAACACTTTTATAATATAAATTTAACCATTAGATATATTTGAAGTTCTACTAAGTTTCTGTTTCAATATGTAACAAAATATTACTGCAGTATATTTAGCTGGCAAATACATCATAATCAAATGCTGTATAAAATAATTTAAGTCTAGAAGTGCATACTGAAATTAAGTACAAAGAATGATTTTGGAAAGTAATTTTTTTTTTAATTGAGATCATACTGACTTCATGAACAGCTTATGATAATGTGACAAAGAAATACACTGTAGCATATAATTATGGGGTTTATCAATCTGTGCTTTCATATTTACAGAAATCTGAGTCTTGTTATTGACACAGTTCTGTAATTACACTGCTACACGATCAATTATCAGCACCTATATTTCACAGTACATCGGGAATATGATTGTGTTACTATAATTAGTGTACCTTCATCCATAGTTTCAGCATAGACCAACTTATTTGTAAATTTGATTTTATGTTTAAATAATACAGACACTAGAATTCACACAAAAATAAAGAAGTCTGACTATTGGATTTGTCTTGTTAATTATGAAACAGTATATAGATATATGACTTATTAGATTTCAGCCCTTTCAAAACTATTAGGCTGAAAATGTCCTGACATGTAGTAGTCATTTGTTCTGTGTGGTTGCTGCTGAAAATAATTGTCTGACCGTAGATGTTGCCGTGATGGAGATGATGGGTTCACTTTGTTCATCATTGTCATTGTCATTGTTGACCCATTGTTGCTAATTGTGGGCACCTGAAGGTCAGCATACAGATTGTCTTTGGTAGTATCACGATCCTTTTTTGTTTTAGTTGCCCTTCCACTGTTGTTGGAGATGTTGCAACGCCGCTGCAAGTCGGGATAAGAGAAATAATCACATTTGGCAACGTTGTTGGAGTGGGGAAACATAAAACAAGGGAAGGATATCACTTAATATTTTCCTTTCTTTTCCCTCACTCACTTTAGGATGAATTTGTTGTCAGATTTATTTGTGTTTTGTACAGTTGTAAGCTTGGTTTTGCACAATCACGCTGTAATGCTCATGTGTGAATGAAGATTCTGTCAAGAGAAAGAAAAATAGTGGATTGATACAAAAGTCCTAGGAACAACAGTCTACCCAAAGAGTGGTAATAAAGAACAGCGCCAAGAAAAGTTGTGTGGTGTTAAGAAGTATCTGTGGTATGGAGAGAATATCAAGCCATAGTTATATCATACCTCAGCGGGAGGAGACTCTGCCTGGCTGTGACCTATTTGCTTACAGATTTTTCTTTGTTATTTGCACAAAATATGTGAAATTAATGATTAACAGACATGTAACATCTGCCTATCTCTTGCCATGTTTAATCTTCAGAACTATTCAAAATAGTTTAATTTAAGTTGATGCTGGTAATGTCTGCATTAACTATTACTGCATTCATTTTTGATTGACTCTGTCTAGTATAATTTCTAATTTACATGAAGCTAATATCTAACATCATAATAATCCTAAAAGAAATGATTCATAATACAACAATTTCATACAAAGATTAAAATGTAGAGATAATATTAAAATGTGTTACTTATACTTGAACTTTGTTTTACTTGGAATTTGGCATTATCAAGGTTGGTAACTTGCAAGAGTAAATTTGAATTTCCAATAACTGTACATCAAGACTAATGAAATATTCAAATTGCAAAGGAAGTATTTGAAAAATGTGTAGACCTACCCAAATTTGAAGGTATAGCTCCACATATTTTTCACCTCTGAAATGGATAGAGGTGAAGAGTCAGGTTCATGTTCCTACTGCCTTTATTCCAAGGAAAATAGTCCTTGGTGCACACTAGACAAGAGGCAGAGTGGAATACAGAGCTCTTCTAGATGCAACTATGGTAAAAAGAGAAATTCTGATGTTCTGTTAGGAGTAGACCCCTACTCATCATTGAATTATGAAGACTTCAGTGTTAAGTAGAGGGGGTAAATGTTAGAAAAATAAAAACAACTGCAAAGAACAAATTCTTAAAAGAGAAAAGAAATATATTCATTTTACAAATAAAACTTGAGGGATATATAAAGTACATGCAGAAACCTTGATTTTGCTGGAGAGATTTTAGGAAAATATGATTTCAGACAGACTCAGATGTACTGATTGTACATGGTTGACTGTTTAATGTATTACTGTATAAATATTACTTTCCTATATATACTTTCATCATCTGTGTGGAGGCTTATAGAAATTTGCTTAATTTGGGGTACAAAATGTCTATCATACTATTATTCATCTATATAATAACGTTTTTTAAGGAGTTTCTTAATGCTAGTGGGGTGGGACTAAGTCCTTTGCACTGCAGCCACTTCTGGCCTTTTGTACCAGCCCCAGACGATAGGTGAGGGTGATTGTGGACAATTAGTGAAATGATGATTGGCGGAGGAAACCGAAGTACTTGGAGAAAACCTGCCCCAGCGCCACTTTGTCCATCCAAATCCCACTTGACCAGCCCTGGGATCGAACCCGGGCCGCTGCAGTGGAAAGCCAGCTACTAACCGCTTGAGCTATGGCGTGGCCCTAGCTTAGAGTTACTTTGATATATTCCTGTGCCATCATTGATGAAATGTGACATGGCATTCCAGCTCTGGAAGTCTTATGAAGATCATGAAAGCCTCTGTGAGTTTTAGGTAGCTTTAAAATTCAAACAAGATTATTACAAATAAAAAAGCAAAGCTGCTCCATCCTGAGCTAACTTATGTTGTCCTACCATAGGATGGCCTAATAAAGACATCTTTATAACAGAGCTTATTACTACTGATGTCCTGTTTGTAGTGAATTAAATATAAAAGTACCATCCTAGTGCATCCAATTTGTAATTAAGTATCACAAAGCCTAAAATAATCCTACTTTTACATTGCACTGTTTTTCTGCATTATGCCATATAAGATATGATTATTCTATTTCTATACATCACTGGCTTCTTACTTTATGGTAATTTTAGTGTCACTAATATTTTAAGCATATATCTACAAACAAAGGTTGATTATTTAATGTAAAACTAATGTAAAGTTTCCTTTTATAATTAGGTGTCCCTGAAGAAACTTGCTGGAATTTGTGATGAATTAATAATCAAACATTTGTTATGCTAGGCAGTAATTTAAAGATATCTTATTCTTCTCATTTTCTTGTCTCCATGGCAATGAGGAAGTGGGCCTATTTAAAATGGTTTTGACACTCAGTATTCCATAAAATATTTTAGATAATGTGTTTGAAAATATCTTGGTTCATTTAATGACACTTTTTGAATAATAATATGATTCTTCACTTTCCATGTATTGATAAGTTTACAAGGTGGGAATGCTAACTATTCAGATATGATATTCATTGACTTTTTGAAGTCTCAATTCAGCAATAGAGGGGATTCAAATTTGGCAGACTTGTAATTGCAGTAGCATAAACAATGCCTGATTCATAATGTTCTTGTCTTCAGAAACTTAAAGATGATGAAGATGATGATGGTGATGATATGTTCTGACACTGATATTATCCAGCAATAAATAATTGGACATTAATACAGCATCATTTTGGTGCAATTGTATCAACAGTGGAAATATAATATATTCTAAACTTTGAGGTGGGTGGGTGGTGGGGGATGTAAAATCTGAAATTTGAATATAACCTACAGCCAGATTTCATCATTTCTCCACGCCACAATATACCAAATATCTATTCATGCACATTTAAATACAGAAACTATACAGGCTCTAGACCAGTTTCTTTGTGTATCCCAAATAAGGTAGGGAAAATTTGAGATTAAAAACAGAAGTAGAGAAACATAGTGTACTGTGATTTGAAGCCAGTCAGAAGGTGAAGATTAAAATGTGCGCTAGTGAAGTGTTAAGTAGAATATAAACTGCAATGACAGTTACTAACTTGTTTAGAGTTCAAAATTTTGTAAAATATTGACAAGGAGTAACAAAATTATCAGAGTAGCTTATCTTTCCAAAATGATTAAAGCCCATTCATCAAAGTGGCATATGTAAACGAAAGATCAATTTCTTTTTAAATTATTTAAAGTGGCCGAACATACCTCTTATTATAAAGGAATCTGAGCCCTATATTCAGAAATATATAAACTATATTATAACCTTATAGTACAAATGCTTTTGAGAATACATATGCATATTTATTTGGTTTGGTGCAGTAGCAGACAACAAGTGCGTGACATTTGTGCAGTGTGCATTAGTGTCAAAGCAGTGCAAAGTAGTGGTGCTGGTGCAAATTCTTGCTTGCTGGTGGCGGTGCTGAGTGCGGTGGTGCCAAAGCATTGAGAAAACATCAGTCAGTTCTTCAGCCAGTCAGGCAAATACGGTCATGACATGAAATAGGCAGCCAAACACAGAAATCTCCCTCAAAACTTCATATTTTCCTTTAAAATTATATAAAGACGTTACACAATTTCATTGGTCAATGGATAAACTGGAGGAGATGCTAAACTACAAACTGTTTTCTTAAAGTTCATGCTTTACACAGAAATGTGTCCACAAAACTGTCAGACAAGACACATTTTTTTTCCACACCACATCACACAATGCAACACAAAAATTACTGGGTCAAACCCTTTTCCTTTCCATCAACAAACCAAAGATTTATCAAACAAGGCTTAGTTTCTGTTAAATGCAACTTCATTTTATTTTAAATTTGTTTTAGCAGGCGGTGACAGAAGGCACACGTGCGGTGGTTGGGTGGTGGTGGTAGTAGTAGTATCAGCAGTAGTAGTAGTAGTGGTCGATTTGCGAGCAGAACAGTAGGTGGCAGCAGCGGTAGCTGTAGTAACTGTAGGATGGTGCTACACCCTGGTGGGAGGCTGCAGAACCATGGCGGCGAGCCTCACCTTCATTGCCTCAGGTGAGCCACCGGTGATCGTGTGGGGTCGCCTGGAAGGTGAGGTGCTGTATATAGCCTCTGCAGGTATGGTTCCACCGCCCCCTAAACCCTGGTTTTCGAGGCGTGGCGTTTTCCTGCCAGCCGCGCTGTCTACGTCACTCTTCTCGCTGTGAAAGACAATAAAGCAAATTTTATGCTGTAGTTCACGTACTAACGAGATTTCTTCTAATTCTCTACAGGTAGTTGGATAACGAGATGTATGATTGGGCAGATAGACAGACAGACAGACAGACAGTCAGTCAGTCAGTCAGGGAAGTAGGTAGGTATGTATACTGATGTAGGGCTTGAAGTTCTCAAAGCGGTGATTAAGAACAGTTCTGTCTACTGGGATGTAACGCCGTGCAGTCCAATGAAAGTTGAACCGACGTTTTTGGGAAGTATGTCGACTCCATCTTGCTGCCCGTTTGATGTTGGTTTCTTGCTTGGCTTTCACTTTGGGACCGCAGATGGAAGCGAAATATTCTTCCGAAACGCTGGTTGACTTTCACTGGACTACACGGCGTTGCATCCAGAAAGATAGAACTTCAGATGGACAGATGTTTAAATAAAGACTGTGGCATGTACACCAGTTGCTAGGCTGCGACCGAGAGATAGGCGACTGTACAGCGGCCGTTGCTGGGCAGCATTCCGCAAAATATATTAGAGAAATTGTGTTTTCTGCAACGTCGGCTAAGCAACAATTCAACAGAAATGGAGGAACGGTGTTTTCTGTGCGGTTCGTACCGAGATGTTTTAAGCAGGACAACTAGAGCAATGAGTTAGTTGTGGGACAGTCGCCAGGCGGTAAGAACGTAAGCACGGAAACAAAGGACATTATTGGATCCGTCACCAGGCAACGACTGGTGAAAACACAGCAGACTGAGAAAAATTAGCACGTACTGTAGTGAACTGTAGAGTTTGTGATTTAGCGTTAGCGCTATGGTAAATTATAGTTACGTTCTGTAAGTGTTCAATAAATCCGATTACCAATCCAAACCGCGTCTATAGTCACACTAAAAATTCGTGACAATACATAGATGGCCACATAAGACGTGAACAGCAGGAATTTCAGGACTAAAATGAGGGAATAACTGAAAGATAAAAATCGATGAGCTTGCAATAAACAGTAAGAACAAGAATATTAGAGACCTGTATAGAGGAATAAATGATTTTAAGGGGGGTTACCAACCAAAAAGTAACTAAGTGAAGGATGGAAATGGTGATCTGCTTGCAGATCCCCACAACATTTTGAATAGGTGGAAAACCTACTTCCGTCAGTTATTGAATGTACATAGTGCCAGTGATGTTAGGCAGATAGAAATACATACAGCTGAGTCATTAGTACCTGATCCTAGCACTTCTGAGGTTGAAATTGCTATTGCAAAAGTGAAAAGGTATAAATCGCCAGGTAGTGATCAAATTTCGGCAGAACTCATTCAAGCAGGAGGTGAAATATTACATTCCAAGATCCACAAGCTAATTACTTCTATTTGGCATAAGGAAAAATTGCCTGATCAGTGGAAGGAGTCTTTTGCAAGAAGAGCGATAAAACTGATCATGGGATATCACTGCTATCAACTTCATACAAAATTGTATCCAATATTCTTCTCTCAGGGTTAAGTACATACGTAGATGAAATTATTGAGGATCATCAGTGCGGATTTCGACGTAAGAGACCAACTACTGATCAGATTTTTGCATTCGTCAGATACTGGAGAAAAAATGGGAGTATAATGAGACAGTACATCAGCTATTCTTAGACTTCAAGGAAGCCTATGATTCAGTTAGGAGGGAAGTATTGTACATTATTCTGATAGCGTTTTGGGTACCCATGAAACTACTAGTTAGGCTGAATAAAATGTGTTTAAGTTAAACTTATGGTAGAGCCCGTATAGGTAAACATTTGTCTGATAATTTTAATATCCAGAATGATCTAAAATAAGGAGATGCTTTATCGCCACTGTTTTCAACTTTGCTTTTAGAATATGCAATTAGGAAGGTCCAGGAAAACCAGGTGGGACTGAAATTAAACGGGACACATCAGCTGTTGGCCTATGCCGATGATGTGAATCTACTGGGTGAAAATGTACGAGTCGATACCATAAAGAAAAACATACAAACTTTAACTGACGCAAGTAAAGAGGTTGGTCTAGAAGTAAACACAGAGAAAACTAAGTATATGTAGCCGTCTCGTCACCAAAATGCAGTGCAAAATCATGACATAAAGATAGGAAACAGAAGTTTTGAAAATGTGGTACAGTTCCGATATTTGGGAACAACGATAACAGATCGGAAACTGATTCAGGAGGAAATTAAGAGGAGATTGATATCGGGCAATGCTTGCTACCATTCAGTCCAGAACCTATTGCCTTCTCGTCTGCTGTCCAAAAACACAAACATTAGAATATACAAAACTATAATTTTGCCTGTGGTCCTGTATGGGTGTGAAACTTGGTCTCTGACATTAAGGGAGGAATATAGACTGAGGGTGTTTGAGAACAGGGTGTTGCGGAGAATATTTGGACCAAAGAGAGATGACGTGACAGGAGGTTGGAGAAAACTGCACAATGAGGAGCTTCATAACTTGTACTCTTCTCCAAGTATAATTAGAATGATCAAGTCAAGGAGGATGAGGTGGGCAGGGCATGTAGCACGAATGGGGGAGACGAGGAATGCGTATAGGATATTGGTGGGAAAGCCAGAAGGAAAGAGACCACTGGGAAGATCAAGATGTAGGTGGGTGGAAAATATTAAAATGGATCTTAGAGAGATAGGATGGGGTGGCATGGATTGGATTGATCTAGTTCAGTATACGGACCAGTGGATGGCTCTTGTGAACATAGTAATGAACCTTTGGTTTCCTAAAAACCCTGGGAAGTTCTTCAGTAGCTATAGAATTAGCACTTTCTCAAGAAGGGCTCAGCTCCATGAACGAGAGAATGAGAGAACATGGACAACCAGAGAGGGAGGTAGATGGTTGGATATAGACAGACAAAACAACAAAAATGTCAGATTTGAGGTTTAACAGCGGTTGAAGATTTAGGTTGTGTATTTGGCCCTGGAAAATATTCAAGGTAGAAGTTTACCATGAAGTAGGAAGCAGCACATTCCTCCGAAATTTTGCTGACCACGAATAAGAATGTATGTTGCCAAAACTGAGAGGACCACGATCCAAACAAATGAGATTGTTTCATTAGATTTCTTGAGGAACTAAGTACATTTGTGATAAACGTGTTACATTTCTACACTACACGCACGCACGCACGCACACACTCACACATGTTCTCATAATATTTTTTAGTGTACGCAAGTCCTTAATGCGTTATAATACTCAATCGCCACATTCACTGATGGAATAGCTGTTAAAACTATTCTGGAATGTCTGAGAACGCAAGAATTCCCGTTAAAGAAACGAAACACATTACAAATATTTTATATCCCACAGATAAATTGTGATATCTTTTATTGAATTTTATTTCCTCGCTCATTTACTCCAGCTGGTATATAAATAATGGGTCGTGGCAAGCGTGGGAAAAATTGGGGAGTTTTAGTTTCCAGTCACTGGGTATTGTAGAGCTGTGATTGGGAACTGCGCGGCCATGGGGAGTTTTTCAGTAGGTGAAACGGTGAGCAAAGTCGCACAGCACGTTACATGGTGTGGAGCAATTGTGTTCATCACACATTTTCATATTGTCTCCATTTTGAAATGTCCAACTCCAAGCGAAATATAACACAATGGAATATGTACTTTTGTTTATCAGGAGCACAATAGTGCTAAGATCTGTTAACATATTTCTTGGTTTATTTAACAATTTTTTTTTTCCATTCATTTTGCCACATGAGAAACCATCAGAGGTTGTCGCATTACAGCGGAGCCCCGACTCATTCCATGTGGGATCTATGATGAAGAAGATGGTAATGAGACATGTTTCGGTCAATCTCTCAGTTTTCCACCGTCAGTGATTATTCTGCCAATATTTCATAGTCATTCACCATCATCTTTGAGATCTGCGAGAGACCCGACCAGGCAGCACGTTATTATAAGCTTGGTTCTCCGTCGGGGCTTCACCGTTCACTCTACAATTAACTGGCTGCATTCAAGAGTCACAGAATAAGTGTGCGCTCAGCACTATTGTGTCAGAGGGGGCAGGGGACTTAGTGTCCAACCGCAGAAAATGATAAATATGAAGGGCTGTTAAAGAAAGCGTTGTTGGATGAAGCTGGCAGTATCGCGAAAGGTTTAAACTGAGAAGAAAACGAATCACCTAAAGAAACAATGTTGGCAAAATTCAGTTTATGAACTCGGAGCCATTTACGTAGAATGCGAAAATCATCTCAGTAAATTTTAATAATCCAGATCCCATTCCCAAGGAAACATACCACATTTCTGTTACAGAGGTCAGTTTGTTATGGATGTATAGGAAAATGACCGCCTCTGTGGTCTAGTGGTCACAGTTCCTGGCTACAAATACAGAGGTCTCCGGTCCGATTCCCGGCGCTACCAGATTTTCTGGAAAGTAGTAGGTCTGGAAAGGGGCCCACTCAGCTTCGTGAGGAAAATTGAGGAGCTATTTCAAGGAAATAGCGGCTCCAGTCTAGAAAACGGAGATAAACTGCCGTGGGGAACCGTGGCGCTGATCACGTGACACCCTCTATCTGCAAAATTTGTCACTAACTTCGCCGACAAGCGGCGGTCGCTCGGTCGGTCAGTCTGTATAGTTTTGTGTAGGAAAATAACAGCTGTATGTAAAGTGAATTAAAATTAAATCCACTGGTGTAAATATACAACGCTTCCCCTCAAAGTGCACTTTGTATTCAGGAACTGGTGATGGACATAATTGCGACTGGAACAGACACTGCTATCTTACGAGACTAACGTAGCAAGCAGACTGAAGGCTTTAGCTGTATTGCATTGGTCGTTCCGTGTGATGGCAGATAACAGTTCTGTGCGCGCTTGAGAAAACGACAGACACCGGGCGAAACCGACTGACCGACGGTGAAGTACAACGACATTGTACTCACTAGAGCTGCACCTGTAAGCAGGATTATAATGTTCCGCCAGCATGTCTGCTGCTTCTGATATTCTCATCTTTATGAATCTCGTTATGAATTTAAGTTCTGGGGAAACACCCACTGCGCTGTGATTCCTTGCTGTTAGGGTTCCAGAAACGGGAGAAGTGGGTGTTTCCCCAGCACTCTGTACTTGTTTTTTCATTTGTGGACAAATATCCTGGATTGTATGAGTTAAGAACGAAAGGAAGCACAAAAAAGAAATAATGAAAACTGAAGCCAAAAGGAGGAAGGAAGAAAGAAATAAAGAATAGAACTGAAGATGGGGAAGAGAGAAATTAAGTAGTGCTGAACAAAAAGGGCGAAAAGCACAGAAATAATCAGACAAATAAAGAGCAATGAATGGAGAAACGAAGCAAGAAAGAGAGAACAGAAAAAAGGTGTTTGTTCTTCCAAAATAATAATTTAACCTGCAAATTCATAATGTCTAACGCCACAACAAACGTTGGAAAATGTGAATAAATACGGAGAAAATAAAGAAAGTAAAACTGTAAGAGAAGAGAAATCAAGAAAGCAAGAGGAGAAAGAGAATGAAAGAAGAAGAAAGAAAAGTGAACTATAGCGAGAATGAAAGGAAGAAAGAAAGGGGGAGAGAGCGTTCTTTCCAAAGGGCAACTTTTTTTTATGTTACTCGACATCTTCAGGTCCTGTAATGGTCAATTACAGCAGTCACCCATACTATTCGGGATCCACGCATGCGTCACTCACTGATGTTACTTTTAAAGAGTAATATGTATTTAGACGGGTGTACGGACGATCTTAATCTGCAAAAGTGAAATGAAATACTGCTTCAGTGTCAAGTTATATACGAAATGCATGCATTACTCAGTTTGGAAAGAATGTGATGATGGCGGTGCAAGTCTTCGGAGACATTGGGCAGAACTGAAAATAAGACACACGTACATGAAGACGGGTCAAATACGGAAAGAAGACAAATAGGAACGGGAGAAAGAAAAGACACAAGAAAGAAATAGTGTAACTGAAACGAATGCTGACAAAAGTAAGGAGAGAGGGTGGAAGGGATTTGAGAGTTGCCGTGTGGCGTGAGTTTCCACTTTATCGGATCCCTTGCGACGGTCCTTTGTTTCGGCATTGCCAAGCTAAGCGATTTCTTTTCGTGCTGGGGTAATGGTAGCCACTCTGTGCAATCACTGAGGGGTGGAACACACCTTTCATCACCGTCACACGTGATAACTTTCCCGAAAGTATACTGCATCTCTTTAGCTCCCCTTGGACAAATCCAGAGACGATTACTTGTCTGAAAATAGAAAGTCCTGGGAAGAACTCTTCTCCGTTTAAGCGGTTATGATGGACTTGTCATGTAGCTCGTATGTGTGATTAATTCTTAGTTTATTTAACGATATGTATGGGCTACACATGCAATAAAGCATCGAATGACATGTGAAGACTCATTTATTTATTTATTATTGGTTTATTTATCGATCTTCTTAATTTCTAAAATCAGCCAGCTACGCATGCGTAAAGTCAAATAAGAGAATGACGAAATGTTTCATGATTCTGAAGAGATATTTATTTAAGGCATAATTCCGGAATTTTACTGGGGAAGGACTGAGGAAAACGACTAAAATCCTCAGTCATAACAGCTGGCCTGTGGTGTGAGGTATGAACCCTGGACTTTCTGAATAGAATCTAGAATGCTAATCACTCGACCGCGATGTTCAGTAAGACGATAAACTCCGTGGCCTGTAGTCCGCAATCGAACTGTACCGACCGAGTGACCGTCGCTTATCGGCGAAGTTAGTGCCAACTTTAGCGGATAGAGGGTGTCACGTGGTCAGTGCAACGGATCCACGGTTTTCTAGACCGGAACCGCTATTTTCTTGAAATAACTCCTCAGTTATCCTCACGAGGCTGAGTGGGCCCCATTCCAGACCCACTTCTCCTCAGAAAATCTGGTAGATCCGGGAACCGAACCCGGGGCCTCTGGATCTTTAGCCAGGAACTCTGACCACTAGACCATAGAAGTGGTCCAGTAAGACGCTAATGAATGGTAAATAGGCAAGGATATAGAAAGAGAAGTTTGTGGTATACTTCAAGGCACCCTACGAGAAGGACTGAAGAAAATCAAGTAAACAGCCGGGATAGCGGGTGTCTGCTCGAGATCGAACCCGGTCCCTTCCGGATACAATCCTGGAGCAAGATGGGTGTATACAAGATGCAAATTAACGTAACGTTTTGTGGACTTACCTTTCTAAATCAGAAGGTCGGAAGTCCCCTCTACCTGCAAACACAAGCGGAATGAATTCAGCAGAAACAGAAGTGACACGTGCAGCACAGAAGCTTACATCAGTGTATGAGAGAGGATACCCAACTGTGGTCCGCTTACTCGTAGTAATTATTAGGGACTCGCCAGAAACAAACAGGACAAAATGACGGATTTTCTGTCAACTTTATTTAAAATTTAATCCACAAGAGAAAATGAGCGAAAGAAAAAACGAAAAAGAAATACAAAAAGGAAAAGAAGAAAATAAAGAAATAGAAATGGAATGAGTTCAATAAAAAGAAAACGATGAATGTACAAAGAAAGAGAGGGAGAAATGAAAGTAAAACAGAACGTATCTTCGATAAGGAGTTCACTTTCCTGTAATGATGGAAGTACTGTTAGAGATAATTGTGTTGGCATAATCTGTGACTTGTAGAAGTTTCTCTAACACCCACTTCACCATCACTGACTGTTTCAGAATTAAATGAATATTACCAACTGCAAACTTGAAGGAGTTTGACAACATTCTACTAGAAATGTGAAGATGGAAGGAAAATAACTTTTCATTTAAGTCAGAAGGACTTAAGATTGTGTTGTGGAAACTGAACAAAATTATCTCATTTCAAGATCATGAATAGTTGAGTCAGAATCAAGGGCCAATAGAAAATTAGTTTTGTTCCATACCAGAGTGCCTGTGCACTGAAATTTAAACATTATTTTTAGCATACTTTCCTTATCTAAAACAAAATATGCTGTCTCTGTATCTGTCTGTGAATCTCCCCTATTGACTTCTGAGTGCCTGAAGCAGTCTTTATGAAACCTGGTATGTACATCATGGCAATTAAGCCCATCTCAACGGCGTACTTCATAAATCCCTTCCATCAGTCTGTGTGCCTGTATGTGCAGACCCCTATCGTTGCTAGGCAATGGCTCGGTAAAAACGTTACCGCAGCACGAATGCACGTAACAATAGAAGAATTGTTGGACGCGTCGTTATCTATGCGGTCCGTGTAGTGTCACAGGAAAGTATGCTATCAGGTCTTCGCAGAAGTTTTTGTTGTTATTTGTATTTTCTCCTGTTCTTGGACTCACAGATGGTCTTTCTGTGGTTTTCAGAACACAATTCCTGTGGGGCAGGCCGTACGGAGAGAACTGAATTACCGCATTTAAGCGGCCTAAATGTCTTTGCAATTCTATATAAAAGAATTACAGTACACTGACACTAACTTAGTTATTCTCATAGTTGCAAAATAACCCGCCAGAAACAAAGGTTTTCTTACCAAGAATATAGAAATACATGACACCACAATCTTGTGTGAACACTTTGTGTCACAATGATCACAATACCAGTACTTTCTATGGTGGACAGAAACAACTGATTTCAAATAGAACCCGTTCATGCAAAAACCAATTAATAATTCTCATGGGGTTATCTGTAAGGCGATATCTCTATTCTATACGATTTTTTAACGACATGCCGTTTGGCAGATACAGGCTAAATGGATAGGCGGACGTTTGTGGATTACATGTATGAATAACCACACTACCTCTCAGATGGGCACAGAATTACTGGGTTTTTGGACTATTTCCATCATCCGGTATTCTAGAGAATAGAAAAACCGACGTTTCGGAAACTGGATCTCTTTCCGTCCTCAGGTGGGCCCCTTAAAAAGAGTTAATCTCAATCACTGCTCTCAGTTATTCTGTGTGCTATACACCATCGTCAGAACCCTCTAGAATCTACCACTTGCAATGTACAAACTAGATTTATTCCAGTATTTTTACCTCTTTACACAGTGATGTATGGGAAGTGTGACAAAGCATGACATTGGTAACTTCACCAATTATAACACTGATAACATGACTAAGTACGATGTTGATAGCCGCAACAATTTACCGCCAGATTTCAAAGTGGCTTCATGCTAAGCATCCCAGTATTTGCCTACGGTCAATGACGACAGATACGACAAACCTCGGAAAGGGAAGCCGATTTCCGGGCCGAGTAGGTTGCTGTATCACTAGATTTGCATTTAGGAGGTACTCGGTTCGAATTACATTCAGATTATCGATCAACGCGACTAAAGTTTTTTTTTTTTCCCTAGTCTCTCCAATAATAAGAGCGAACGGCGTGGCAGAGTGATTAACGTTTCCGCTTCATATTCGGAAGGACCCGAATTTGAATCTTGGTTGGGATTTTTCTCAGCCTTTCCACGAAAGAAATGGGACAGTTCCTTAAAACAGGCTCGAACTGCAGCCTTACTCAATTTGTCCAGTTTATTATCCACAGATTATATTAATATTGATGCCAAGACAATCTGTCAGTTGATAGAGTGTCATTAAATAAACCAGAATGAATGGGATAATACAACTGGCCAAGATCAACCCCTTCAAAATTATTTCTTACCAATAATTCGTTTGCTTTATTATGAAGAAAGGAATACACCTACAGTGCGAAACAGCCGAGCACTTACGCGATGCTGTCGAAGGTAGGTATTTCCTATAAAAAGCACCACCAAAGAGAACACCCTTCTCCTTCTTTTCACATCCTCCACCCTTATTTAGTCCCACTTCTCTTACCTCTTTTCGCGAAGCATCCGTCTCAGTCCATTCAGCTCTTTACGAAAATTTCGATTCGGCTTTATAGAAAGCCATGTTGTTCCTTTTGATGCTTCCAAATTTTGCTGTCCTCAGATACGCGCAAACCTCCATCAACACAAGCTGTATTATTCCATTTTATCATTCTTACACATTATATCCGATCTCTAGCATGAAATTTATTCTGGAACTTACTACTTACGGTCTCTATTCTGATCTCTGATAAGTTACTCAAGGAGTATAACCTTGCCTGATTTCATTGCTAGATTTATTCACTTAGAAGAACACAAGCATAAGGAGCACCCATTTTTAATGTGGAGAATTTTAGAGTTCCTGATGGTTTTTTTTTCACTGCTTCTACAGCCCCTTGGGCCCTGGCCTCTGATTTTTCATTTTCATAATCATACTACAGAGGGTATGACTCATTGGACGAGTGATCAGCTCGTCTTAAAGCCTCTCTCTAAACACAGGACAACACAAACACAGAATAAACACATACCAGACACCCATGCCTTGTGTGGGATTCGAACCCACAATCCCGGCTTCCGAACTGTACATGACTTAGACCCCTCGGCTACCGTGACCGGCTTCTAATGATTAGACCCGATTATTTTCAATATTGACCACTAAGTACGTGTATAAGCTCCGTCAGCTACGTACTGGAAGTCTGGGTTTGGATTCGCGGCAGAAGTACCATGTCCAGACCGTTTCCGAGTCCTACGGTTACTCATAAAAATTTCTCGGAGTAAAAAAGCCACTCATCTATGTCTAGGGCCAAGTTTAAGAATGCGTGTATCTTTACCTCCACTCTCTTTTCATTATGATTGCTTTCTGGTTAATTATACATTTCTTTTAGACGCTTTAAGAATTATAGACAAAAACAAGACCAAAGCGAATAGAAATAAAATGGAAATGGAGAATAATGAGTCATTCATAATCTGCATTCTTCCGATAGTATTGATAAGAGTGATTAAAGCAAGACGAATGATGTTGAGATGGACATGTGCTGTATATTAGGAAAATGATGAACGAAAATAGACTGTTAGTTCGAAAACCTGATGCCATTTAGCCTCTAGAATCTGTATTAATTTAATCTCCCGAAAGTCCAATCATGTGACAGCCAACTCAATCTAGTCCACCTCTCATATCCTCTCATTCTATACACACCATTCACAATAAAACCTTTTTTTAGTTTTCTACCACCATTCTTTAATTACCTCAATATAAATATTAAATTTGTCAGTACCAGCTTTCACATACCAAAACATGAAAAAATTGAAACAAATTTTTATTGAATGTCTTACGTTTAATTTTGGGCAAAGTCGCGGTCTGTTGTGAACATGGACACGTATAAGACGGAATTTATTGACTAGGCGTGCAACTATTCGCTTCTGAAGTAGAGGTTTTCTTCATGGAAACAGTTATAAATTTCTTGAATTTTGAAACCACGGTCGATGGGGGATGCCACAGAAGTGTGTGTGTGTGTGTGTGTATGTGTGATGGCTTTACGAGGATGTGAGATGTTGTATTTATCTTCATCTGGAGTGCCTATCCTCCGTCTTCCTACCTGCTAGATCCCGTATCCTCACTTTTTGCTGTGAATATTGAGGCAGCAAGTTTCTCGAAGATGTAGGAATCTCTCTGCCCCACAGCGCGGGTCACAACTCAGAGAATCGAGATTCTCATATTTACAGCCGTGGGATCGTGAGATCATGAGAAAATACTTTATCGAATTCTGATAGAAGGATTTCACCTTATGGAATATACCGCCGTGTAGTCCATGGAAAATCAAGTGATATCTCGGATCAGCACATGGCCTCCATCTTCAGGGTCGAAGAGTAAGACAAACAAGAAACAAACCAGAAGCAGGTAGTGAGGACTGCAACCTCCTTAATGACAATGACTGCGTCAAGGCCAGTTCCCGCAGCCGACCCATGTCGTCTTTTTGTTGAGCCTTGTTTGGACTGTCGACCAATTTTACCCGAAAATGGAAATCAGTGACGTCATATGGGGACACGTCAACCCTGAAGCTTTCTTTCCTTTCCAGGCTCTCCTCATCACCTGCTTAGTGCCTACACCCAGGCACACGACTTATCTTCTGGCCTTCTTCTTTGCCTTCCACCACATATTCTTACATCTCCCTCGTTTTCCTATGTCTACAAGTCGCAAAAGAGGCCCTTTTCAGGGCCTAATGTAGTTACACCTTTCTCCTATTGGTTCGTTCTGCTTCTCAGCGAGAGACAGTGGGAGGAGACACTTTGGCTTTCAAGTTCTCTCCTACTCCATACAGTCCCTGTGCTTTCCAAACATGGTCTGCAAACGATAAAACCCTAACTGTCTCGAGAGAAACTAAGATCTAGTCATAAGGGGCTTGACAGTAAGACAGACTTCCCGACAGACCGTCAATCGTAACGTGACTTTGA